CTGTATTTCTTTCCAATTTTAACCCAATTCCAATGCCAGAAAATGGAAATAAACTATCCAAGATATTAATAATCTGTAGCGTCTTCAGCTGCAAGTAATATACTTTCCCCCAGCGAACTCCTGTCAGATTTAATTTTGCTCCTGAGGAGTTCTGAGCATGGAGGTATTGCAATCTATGAATTTCTGTGAATGGCCGTTTGTCATGAATGCTTTAGCTGAGATTCCTGCATTGCAGGCGGGTTGGGCTAGGTGGCCCTTAGGGTCCCTTCTAACTACACAATTCCATGATTCCGTGATTCTATGATTCAATCTATTGCTTACCAGCTTCAATTCCTCTTCTGAAACTTGACAATGTGACATGAAAATTAGTATTAGTATTATTATTAGTAGTATTAGTATCAGTATTAGTATGGACCTTCTGCATGCAAGACAGGTGCTCTCCCACTGCATTATTACTATTATAAGAATTAATAATTAAATTAATAATTAATAATTAATAATTAATAATTATTATTGTCTTCCCTTGTCAACAAATAGGGGCTGAAGTTTGGAGGCATCAGCTAGGAAACCTGCACCATTCCTCTTACATTAGTAAGTCCATAAGACCAAATTAAATAAGAAGATAGTTAGGCTTGCAGTGCAATCCTCTGTTAATTTTCAAGGAAACAAGACTGGCTGTGTTCAGTAGGGCTTATTCTCCTGTGAGGCTGCAACTTCAGGCACACTTATCTAAGAGAAAGCCCTACGGAATTCACTGTGGCTTACTTTTGGGTAGACGTGTATACAGTGGTACAAGTGGCGTAGCGTGGGTTGTCAGCACCCGGGGCAAGGCAAGTAATTTGGGCCCCCTAACCTGTGGATTTGCCCTAACCCCAGATGTTGCGCCCGGTGCGGCCGGCCCCCCCTGCACCCCCCACGCTACGCCACTGAGTGGTACCTTGGGTTAAGAACTTAATTCGTTCTGGAGGTCTGTTCTTAACCTGAGGTACCACTTTAGCTAATGGGGCCTCCCGCTGCCACCTCACCATCAGAGCACGATTTCTGTTCTCATCCTGAAGCAAAGTTCTTAACTCGAGGTACTATTTCTGGGTTAGTGGAGTCTGTAACCTGAAGCGTCTGTAACCTGCGATACCACTGTATAGGACTGCACTGTTTGCGTGTTTAGGATTGCAGCAGCCTTATCTACTTTATGGACTATAATGGCAGGAAGGAGGTGGGATCCCCGAAAATGCACAACCTGGGTTGCTGCTTCTTTATGGCAACAAGGGTGATTTATCACCAGTTTTGGTCAGCAGCACTGCAAAAACCACATCCCATAATGAACTCTCTTTGTGTTGAGAACAAGGATTCCCATGGGACTAACACCTAAGTGTTGGCTAGATAAGAGAAGAATGTGGAAGGGTTACCCAATCATTCCATACTTTACAACTGCTCCTGCATTCCTGATAAACAAAAGAAAAAGAAACTAGAAAGTTTCCCAATCCTCTTTAAAAAGAAATACCCTGGGAACGTGTGGTTGTACATTTTAAACTCATTAAATCAGAGCAGCTCCAGAACTCCAAAAATAAAATGGGCTTTGCTTCTGCTGCCCTGCTGCCCTGATCCATTTACTTGTAGAAAAGGACAATATATATGTAAATTAAAAATAACAAAATGAGCGTCTATAACCATGTGAAAGTGTTGGGATGTAACTCAACTTGTGTTAAGGCTGATGGGGTTTTGCATAGTAGAGAGAGAAGGGAACCTCCAAACTTCCTAGACCATCTTTCTGACCTAACCTGTGCTGACCTTCCTTCAGATGCGAGACTGATACTAGTGGTCTTTACCTCATTTCCTGCTCTTCACCATCCTACCTCAAGTGAGGAGACATCTTCTTTCTGTTTCTACCCCCACCCACCACAGAGATAAAAGAGCAAGCATGGTTCTTTGCATCTTCAGCTTAATTAGCTAGAAGCTCTTTTCTATCAGTCATGTGTTTCCTATAGTAAACTTAGCTTTCTTATTTTCATACTCAAAGATTGCTTTCAGGGTTAAAGCATGCTCCAGACAAGGATTCATAACTAAGCTCAACTTCAGCTGTTCCATATAAACTCCATATGCTAACATTGGCTACCCCTATATATATATATATATACCCCTATCATATATATATATATATATATATATATATATATATATATATATATATATGAAGAAATAATGGATGCTGTAGATATGAGCATATTCCCTGGGTGGTCATGGCATGGCCAGAGGGCCCCAGATGCTGATGCCAGGCCTGTTTGTACAGTGGTACCTCGGGTTAACAGGGACGCGGGTGGCGCTGTGGGTAAAAGCCTCAGCGCCTAGGGCTTGCCGATCGAAAGGTTGGCAGTTCGAATCCCCGCGGCGGGGTGCGCTCCCGCCACTCGGTCCCAGCGCCTGCCAAGCTAGCAGTTCGAAAGCACCCCCGGGTGCAAGTAGATAAATAGGGACCGCTTACTAGCGGGAAGGTAAACGGCGTTTCTGTGTGCTGTGCTGGCTCGCCAGATGCAGCTTCATCACGCTGGCCACGTGACCCGGAAGTGTCTGCAGACAACGCTGGCTCCCGGCCTATAGAGTGAGATGGGCGCACAACCCCAGAGTCTGTCAAGACTGGCCCGTACGGGCAGGGGTACCTTTACCTTTTACCTCAGGTTAAGTACTTAATTCATTCCAGAGGTCCGTTCTTAACCTGAAACTGTTCTTAACCTGAAGCACCACTTTAGCTAATGGGGCCTCTTGCTGCCACCGTGCTACCGGAGCACGATTTCTGTTCTCATCCTGAAGCAAAGTTCTTAACCCGAGGTACTATTTCTGGGTTAACGGAGTCTGTAACCTGAAGCGTATGTAACCTGAAGCGTATGTAACCCGAGGTACCACTGTAGTTGCCTCCACCGTCTTTTGCTTTCTGAATTTCAGTGCTACGATTGATCTGTAGCTACACCACTGCCCAGTCACCCAGCCCTTGATCAAGGCCACTTCACAACCATGTAACAAGGAAACTCTTTCTGATGTGTTTCTCACCTGGTTGGATCAAAGATCTCTCTGAATTTTTCACTCTCTGAGTCAGTTCTCTGTGCACAAAACAGGACCTTGTCCTAGGATCAATCCCTGGCATCACCAGGTAGTGCCAAGCCAATCCCTTGTCTGAAACCCTGGAGAGGTGCTGTCACTCATTGTAAGGCAGTATTGAGCTGGACGGAGAAATGATCTGATATCGCACAAGGCACATTGCTATGTAACCTGTTTTCAAGAGTCTCAGCTGTCCATTCTGGGAATGTATACAAATTGCCTTCTTATCAGTAGAAATTGCTCTGCACAAGTTTCACATGAAAGGGAGTAAAAGCCAGGCTTGGATCTGAGTTGGCTTTCACTTTATACATTTGGGGGATAAACTGGAATGAAAAATCTTATACCTGCAGTATAATCTGATACCTGCCTACTCAAACGTAAACCCCTGGAACCTCAGGAGGGCTTACCCCTGAATAGATATGTATGGAGTTGATTCCCTAGTCCTCTTGAGTTCAAAGATCAGTGCAGCCCCATGCCTGTCTACTAAGAAGAAAGCCACACTGCCTTCAATGGGACTTAGTCCTAGGTAAGTGAGCAAAAGGATTGCAGCCTTAAGTATATGTTAATTCTCCCAGTTACAGATAGGTAGCCGTGTTGGTCTGCCATAGTCAAAACAAAAAAAAATTCCTTCCAGTAGCACCTTAAAGACCAACTAAGTTAGTTCTTGGTATGAGCTTTCGTGTGCATGTTCTGAAGAAGTGTGCATGCACACGAAAGCTCATACCAAGAACTAACTTAGTTGGTCTTTAAGGTGCTACTGGAAGGAATTTTTTTTTTGTTAATTCTCCCATTACTGTAATTAAATGAGGCAAGAAAAAATGCTTTAACTTTGGCTGAACTATGCTCCAAGTGTCTTGTCCTGTATAAATTCACATCTTGAAAACAAACCCAAAATTCTGATCTCTTCTTTTCTAATAAAATGAGACATCCAACCTACCTTATCCTCTGTAACCTATCTGACTGTGGCCATAATCTCTGCTATTAGAATACAATAGTGAGCTAGATACATGCATACATGCCCTGTTTGTGGGCTTGCCTGAAGTTTCTATTAGCTGCTGTGGAACACAGGGTTTGGGACAAGATAGACCTATGTATGCTTTTATGGCTACAAAGCACACTGACTTTGGACTGAGCCCCATTGCAGGCTGGGACCTCCTTTCCTTAGTAAATATGTTTGGAAACCTTTCAGCACTACTCAGAAGTGTCTCCTATTGTACTGAGTGGAGCTTACTCCCAGGTTAGAGGGCATGGGATTGTAGCCTGAACATACTCGCAGCCTGAACATACTTGTAGCCTGAACATACTCGCAGGAAAGTAAACCCAACATTCCAGGTAGGCATGTTTAGGATCCAGTATTGTTTATGGCATCCGATTTTACTGCTGAATGAGGAAGGAAGTGTGGGATGTGAAACACAAGAGTAGTCAAGTACAACATTCCTAGAGTGAACACATGGGGAGGAATGTTTGTCCAGCCAGCAGGTAAACTTCCTGTTTCCTTCTGAGCTGTGACAGACTTCCTCTGCATGTGACTAGAGGTGGGCATGGCCTCACCTGTGCAGGTAACGACAAAAGCACAGGGCAGGGTCTCCATCTCTCTTTTTTACTACATGCATCAAAGAAGCAACATTTGCTTAGCCAAAGATGCCCTCTTGGCTTCTAGCCAAGAGAGGACAGAGGGACAGTCTCCTTATGAAATAGTTTCCAGGTGTATGTTACTTTTCTAAGCTAAGTCTGCCTTCTGGGATCCGATTGTGAACAGAATGTGAGTAAACTCTTTTTATACTTTTATAGAAGACTGTGTCTTATCTTTTATGAGGGAATAAGGGGGAAATACCAGAACAGTTATTACAGAGGCTTTAGCGAGCCTGAGCAAACGCATCCGCTGCAAGTTTAAAAAGGAGAATATTACTCTGCGAAATTGTGAACTTGTTTACACAAGTTGGAAAGGCTATAATCAAGCAATATACCCTCTCCTGCATCCCTGAACATTCCCACAGGAAGGGCCTCAACTAGGCATTCATGCATCTGTGTTGCGTGCAGAAGATTTCAGGTTCAGTCCCTGGGCATCTCCAGGAAAGGCTGGCTTGAATAATATAGATGGGCCAATATTCTAAATCACTTGAAAGCACCTTTTTATGTACAGACACTGTTAGCGCTGCAATCCCGTAACAGTTATTGCAGGCTGCTGGACTGAAAAAAATATCTTGCTACACTTCCAACCATCTTTCCTCCAGTGAGCCCCACACTCCAGTCACCAAACATGTGTCGTGTCTTCCTTGTTTACCAGGGAATGATATTCCCAATTCCATTCTAATGCAAGGAGTCTAAAGGATGTCCTTATACTTACACCTACATAATTTCCCCCCAATGTCTGAATATTTATTAATATAGAATAATCTCTTAAATATCCAATTTTCAAAAACATTTTAAACAAGCACGTTAAAAAAAAGGCTTCTTAATTGAGATTGCTTTTTTAAAAAATGAAAAGAAACAAGACACTAAAGATTTGAAGGGGGAAATACTCATGTTTTCCTCCCCTCTTTCCTTAGGTCATGGGGCAGGGAACCTTTGACTCCAGATCCCAAGAGCTCCGGCCAGTATGACCAAATGGTCAGGGATTTTGGGAGTTGTAGCAACACCTGGAGGATCCCCTCGTCCCCACACCTGAGAGTTCCCTTCTTTTTGCGCCTGCCCCCGCCCAGGGATGCTGCAGTCTACAGCAGGTCCCCTGGAGATGTTGTGGACTACAACTCCCATCATCCCTTTGGTGGGAATGTTGGTGATACAGGCTAGCGCTGATGGGAGTTGCAGTCCACATCTAGAGGGCATCAAATTGAGTTAGGGCTCACAGTCCAGAACATCTCAAAGGCATCAGGGTGGCTAGAGTTGATGGGAGTTGTAGTCCACAGTGACACCTTGAGGGCACCATGTTGTCCCCTCGGACGAGATGGGACCAGAAACCTCTGAGGGCTTATCTTGTGGGACGGTGGTGACAGACGTCCAAGACAGGTTGCCAGATCTGCTCCTCCTGCGTTTCCCGCAGGCTCCGGAGCCTGGGCTTCCTTCACCGTGCGTCCTGCTGCCGCCTTGGCGAGGCGTCGGGGCTGGAGGGGAGCAGTTCCACCGGGAGCAGGCTGGGCGCCGAGCGCTCCTCTTCGCCCTGCTCTTTCCCGGCCAGTTCCCCCGACGACACGGCGCAGTCTTGCTCGGGCTCCTGGCTGCTCCCTCCTCCGCCGGCGCCTCGCTTCTTGTCCTCCTCCTTCTTCCACTTCATCCGCCGGTTCTGGAACCAGATCTTGATGTGCCTCTCGGTCAAGTTCAGCAGGACGGCCAGCTCCACCCGGCGAGGCCGCGAGATGTACTTGTTGAAGAGGAACTCCTTCTCCAGCTCCAGCAGCTGCGCCCGCGTGTAGGCGGTCCTCGTGCGCTTATTCTCCTCCTGCTCCACCACGAAAGAGCCGCCTAGAAAGAGGAACAGATCAATGAGAATCGACCCAGAGGGAGGCACCGCAAGGAGGGCGTTGCCGTGGGTGGCTCGTGAGGACTAGAACCTTGAGGAGGCGACGACCTGGTTCTAACTTTTCTTCTAATTATAGTCCTAAAACAACTGGAGACCCAAGTTTGGGAAACACTTTTACCAAGCACAGAACAGAGTTAAAAAGGTGATAGATCTAAATTCCTCGTGGCCCTCTATCTTCGGGAAGGCGGGTTTTTTTGTTTTATAAATCCAAGGAAACCAAAATCAGCTGTTCCTAGGATAGCAAGGAAATGTCTAGCAACCTGATCTGTGTTGATGTGGTTGAGATTCCTGCACCGCACGGGGTCAGACTAGATGACCCTCGGGTCCTTCCAACTCTATAATTCTGTGTGTAACTCAGGTAACCATTTGGATCATAATGCATCTCACACAACAGCCATCGTGGCTCTAAACAAAATTTCAGCAGAAACAAGTCTTAGAGCAGTCCTAGACTCGGCCATGCAGAGTTGTCAGCAGGTGAAAGACGCTTCATTCGGTTATTTGTCTGCCTTCTAACCAATTATGCGTTCCAGTAATCACCACCGCCGCCACCATCATTATCATCACTTGCCTTTCCTCCAAGGAGCCCAAGTCACACGACAAAATATATGAAGCTGCCATTACTGTAAGTCTGACCACTGGCCCAGCAAAACCTGCGGGATAGCTTAGTTGGTAGACCATGAGACTTCTTGATCTCAGGGTCTGTGTTCGAGCCTCACGTTGGGCAAAGAGATTCCTGCATGATCGCAAGGGTTTGGACTAGGTGATCCACGTGGCTCCTTCCAACACAACTACTCTATGATTTAAAACTCAGGATTTCCAGGGTTCCAGACAGGAGCCTGATTCTAACTTCGGACCTTCTTCATGCAAAGCAAACACTCCTACCTCTGAGCTATGGTTTTTGCTCTAAATCAGGGTTTCCCTGTGTCCCTAGCTGTTTTTGGACTACATTTCCCATCATCCTTGACCACTGGTCCTGTAAGCTAGGGATGATGGGAGTTGTAGTCCCAAAACAGCTGGAGACAAAAGTTTGGGAAACCCTGCTCTAAATAAAGCCTATCGTTAAAACTTCAGTCTCGATGCATGAAAGAAGCAAGGAAGCGTGAAATAAATCTAATGAACAGAAGGCTCCTTTTCTCATATGCACCTGCCCACACATTGATGCGGATGCTCTTCTGAAACAGCCTTCCTTACTGGGAACCCGAGGTCGTCCTTGATCCAGACCCCCAGGCTATGGACCTGCCTTCCCCTTCAAATGCAATCTGCCCGGACTCTTAAATAAGAGTTTTGCTGACAGGTAAGACCTTGATTCCACCGCCAACATCACCCAACCTTTGAGAGGAATGGTTTTTCGCGCATGCTGTACTTCGGTCCTTTTAAAGCGGTTTGTTGCGGATTTTAATTCTGTAACAATATTCTAACCTGTCTGGGAATGTTTTAACTGTCATGCTTTGCTGTGACATGTTACCTAAAATGTCGAATAAATAAACCGATAGAAATGCCATTTAAAATATTGCTTGTTTCGTTTTCTGTTTCAGTAAAAACATAGATAGGGTTCTCTCTCTGTTTTATGTTAAAGCACTCCTTCGGTCCTTAAAATTCGCCTCCACCAAGCACAAACGTGACCGACAACGTTTGAAGCACGCCGAACTGAAACTGAATAAAACTAGGAAGGAGCCAGCAAGAATTCTGAATATGGAAGACCAGAAAGGGATTAGCAACTTGAACTATACCGGAAAGAAATGGGAATATAATGGTTGGTCTTTGGGGAAGGGCCGTAGCTAAGGCTTAAGGTCCGACGTTCAGTTCCTAGTATCTGCATGTTAGGGCTGAGAGAGAGACTCCTGTCCGGAACCCTGGAGAGTCGCTGCCAGTCAGTGTGGACAATACTAAGCTAGCTGGACCAATGAATTGGCTCAGTAGAAGGCAGATTTTTACTGAGGTGGCCATCTAGGGTGTTCAGAAAGCGTGGTGTCTCCAGGACTCACCAAACCACAAATGCTATTAAATTATCATACACGAAAATTTTGTCATATGTAACAGTATGTATATGTATATGTATATGTATGCATATATATATATAGTCAATCATTAATGAATTCGCCCTCTCTCTCTCCAGCCTTTGAGTAGAAAAACTTAACATTCTTCGAAAAAGCTGAACGTTATTAAAGTGAAAAAATTAAATTCTCGCAATATTCTAATACTCTCCACGGCAGAGACGGTCCTATGACTTCTTAACGCTTCAGTGATTCATAAAGTTGTCCATTTTGCTTTGGGTTCCAAAAAGTTCAGAAAGAAGACTGCAGAAAATATAGCAGTGAACTGTAAGGGAGACGCAGAGATCTAAAAAGAGACCATTATTTGTGGCACGACTCTCCTTTTGCTTGTATTTATTTTTGATTCAGATTTGTCATGGCCAAAGGCTAGTACAATAAAGTTCTTTGGATTGGGTTGGAATATTCTAATGCAACTTTGTCATGTCAAGCCATATTACGCATAAAGATCCACCTGTCATTTATATACACTCCGAGGAGACAGAATTAAGTTTCTTCTTCGCATCATAATGTTTCATTTCCAATTAGAAGGCATGTAATTGGATACCGCTGTGAAATCCAAGCTAAATTGGAAGCCCGTCTCCCAAAAGAACCAAAACGTTTTGCACAAGGGCCCACAACAATGTATACACCGTACATTCAAAGCACATTTAAATCACACACACACACACACACAAAAACCTTCGAACTATAGTTTGCTAAGGGCGCTGATAACTGTAGCTCCGTGAGGGGTGAACTACAATTCCCAGGATTCTTCGTGGAAAGGAAATGTCAGCAGCTGGTCCATTAGGACAAGTGGGACATCACCCCATCAACCCCAACCCAGCCCCCACCTGTCTGCCTTCTTACCTGCAACCAGTCTTTGGAGAGGTTCGGGGGGCACTACCTGTCCGCTTCCTTTTTCTTAGTCTCAGTATCCCTCTTGTAAAACTCAACCGGAATTAAAACGGAGATAAACCTAGAAAGTGTTGGCTCTGCCTTTCACTGGCTTGGGCTCTGCCTACAGTTTGGGCTGGCTGCTTTCTGCCCACAGCACAATACAACCCATCAGCTACACCAAGATTCAGGTTGTCTGAATCGTCTCTAACACGCGTAGAGCAAATTGGAGATGGGGTCGTTTGCGAGCAAAGAAAGCCCAGGAGTTGAAAAATACCTGTTGGGGCTGCAAAAATTGAATTAAGTACTCAAGGGCTGTAATACTGATGTCTGGGATAATCCCCACTGAACACAGCAGGTGTTACTCCTGGTGAAATGCGCATAGGATTGCGCAGTGAGACGCAAACTTGGAACGGTCCATTTTTAAAACTAAGAGTTAAGCAGCCTGCGCATTTGCGTCCATCTGTGCTATACTACTAAAAAGTAACTTTCAATATACTTGAAAATTTGTCTGGTGTGGGCGGGTGGGTGCTAAACCTTTCTGAACGTCAACTCTTCGCCTCCTTTTTAAAATTACAGCCGAAAATCATCACAGTAAATAAAACCAAATCAATACCAAAGTCGTGAACAGATCGGGTCCCTAAGATGTGTTTTTGTCTTGTTAAGAAATTCGTGGGGCGCCCGTGAGATGCAGCTGAGGACCTTCAAGAATTAGCTGTTCTCACTACCGAGAACATCGAACGCACTATTTCCCTACTTGACAGAGGTCTGGAGTAATTTTTGCTGCAGCTAGATTTCTAGGTCCTTCCAAGATTTGGGGAGCGGGTTCTTCCTAAGGAAGGTATTTCCAGTTTCTAAAGCAACCCACACTGAATTTATTCAGCCATCCAGTTAATTAATTATATTTATCAAACCTCTCAGAGGAGGACAAGTTTTCCAGATAACTATATAATAAAGCCAATATAAATACCGCACAGAAAAAACTATAAGCGAAAACAAATCGGATTCTGATTTTGACATTTCAACTCTAATAGCTAGTAAATACTATTTTTACTGCTATGTTTAGAAAATCTGGAGTGTTATGCCCCCCCCGCCCCCAAGTTCCTATCAATGAAATTCGTGGGACATAAAAAGGTAAGCTTGTGTTCATTGAAATCAATGAAGTTTAAGAATGCCCAGTTTTTCATTTACAGATAGGTAGCCGTGTTGGTCTGCCATAGTCAAAACAAAAAAAATTCCTTCCAGTAGCACCTTAAAGACCAACTAAGTTAGTTCTTGGTATGAGCTTTCGTGTGCATGCACACTTCTTCAGTTTTTCATTGTTTGTCATAGGATAATTCCACCCACATTCCCGTTGCCATCTTTCAGGCATATTGGAAAATTACTTCGCAACACAGAAAAAAACCCCTATGAATAACCCGCAATTTCCTCTCCCATATCAACTAATAATATTAGCAGAGCTTTTACGTTACCTAAACAAATCAATAAACTTTAAGCCACTTCCCAACATTGGAACTGGATGAGGATTACAGCCTAAGTAACATTGATTTCGTCCTTATTCTAACCGATTAATTGATCACAGCATTTCTCTAGTTCTTTAGCTTCACAGTTCGGGTGTGCAGTTTATTAATTTTAAGAGATTAATTGTTTATATAGCCGTGGAAATAGACCATCACCTCAAAACTTGTTTGGAAATTTTTTTCTTGGCTGGGATGGAGAGTGGGATTCCATAGGATTTTGCTATCGTTAAACTGGGTTTCTTGTATATAAATCGGTTGCCAACCTAATCCACTTTACCCTGGCAAAAAGTCTCATCGATCTTACGGTGGTGGTAGTTCGCAAGAAACGTTTTGATCTCCCTATTCTCGGATTTTTTAAACAGCTAAACAGTGCGCCGAGGTACACGTACACAAAGCAAATTGGATTTGATTGACTGTTGATCTATTGAATCCTGATATATAATAAACCCAATCTTTTTAACTCTTAAAATAATTTAATACCGATCGATTGGCTTA